TGCTTTATGTAACTAGGGATTAAAGAACTCTTGGAAGAATAAAATGGACAAATTCCCTCTTGCTGATATTTAAAGTAAGGACTGCCTGTAGATATAAGCTTAAAAAAAAAAAACAGTCTCATTCTGCTTCAAAGAGGTTTTTTCTTTTAAGTTCTATACTGTTTTATCCTTTTATAGAACATGTCACTTTCCCTCATCAGAGCTCATCAGTGTTTTGTCCCCAGAAGGCTACTGGACATTGGTCATGGTACATTAAAAATGAAGAGCCTGCAAAGTAGCACACACTATTGGATATATTTTCCTCCATTTTACAGATGAAGAAATCGAGAAACAGAGAGATTAAGTATTCTGCACAAACTCTTGCAATGAAGACCAGATATCAACAAACTGACTCTGCAGCCTATGCTCCTTCTACTTTACAATATCAAGCCTAAGCCAAGAGTTCTTAACATCAGGTTCACGCCTGCGGTTCAGGGAGACTGAATCCCTGAAACAATATGTAAATTTTTGCAGGTAGCCCCTATGTATATTTTTTCCTGAGGAGAAATCTGAGCTATTTTCAAAGGAGTCACTGACCTGAAAAAAAGTTAAAAAGCACTACATCTTAAACGATTAGAATGGGAGGAATAACCATAAATCTTACATGACTCCTTTGTAAAAGTATTAGGTTGGAACACCTGTAAACATCCTAGCTTTCAACAGCAAGTAGTCCTGTTATATAACAAGGTGCCCTATTTAGCTGCATGATTATCCCAGGCAACAAGCTGACTTTGTACCTTCTTCCTTTAAACACTTTTAAAAAAGCATCTGATGTGCAACTCACTGCTGTAAGCAGAGTGTTCCTTTGCATTTGTCCCCTAACAGCAAGCAAAGACCTCTTAATTGATGCTATTCAGCCTTAAAATACCCACTGTTTGCAGATTCTAATCCACAATTAACTAAGCAATTTCAACTGCAGAATGTGAATCCAGCACTTGAAATCAGACTCCTGATCCCAAGGCTGACAGGTCCATTAGTCCCTTGCATGCATTTCACCTTGTAAAGTATACAGTTAACTTGTTCAATTTCTTTGTTCTTTTGTTTTTAGTTTATGTACAATAAAATTCACTTTTGGGGGGTGTACAGTCCTATGAATTTGAGCACACGCAGAGATTCTTAAAACCACCACCACTAAGACACAAAACCATTTCAACACCCAAAGAATTCCCCCATGATAACCCGCTGTGGTCAGACCTTTTCTCTACTTCTAGCCCCTGGCAACTACTAACCTATTTTCTGTTCCTACAATTTTGCCCTTTCTAGAGTATCATATAAATAGAATCGTAGAGTAAATAACTTTGGAAACTGACTTCTTAGTGCAATGCATTTAAAATGCATTCAAGTTGATGCACATGTCAACAGTTTGCTCCTTTTTATTGCTGAGTAGTATTCCATTGTATGGATGTACCACAGTTTGCATACATAGTCACCCAGTGAGGGAGATCTGGGTTGTTTCTAGTTTGGGATGATTAAAAATAATGCTTCTATAGGCACATTTGTGAAAAGATTTTTTTGAGTAAATATAAGTTTTCATTTCTCTAGGACAAAGAGCCAAAAGTGGAATTGCTGGGTCATACAGTAAATGTACATTTAACTTTATAGGAGACTGCCAAACTGTTTCCTGGAGTGGCTGTATTATTTTGCATTCCGACAAGCAATGTATGAGATGTTGTTCTGCATCCTTGCCAGTGCTTGGTTGGTTGTTTTTTTTTTTTTGCGGTACGCAGGCCTCTCACTGTTGTGGCCTCTCCCGTTGCAGAGCACAGGCTCCGGACACACAGGCTCAGGGGGCATGGCTCACGGGCCCAGCTGCTCCACGGCATGTGGGATCTTCCCAGACCGGGGCACGAACCCATGTCCCCTGCATCAGTAGGCAGACTCTCAACCACTGCGCCACCCAGGGAAGCCCAGTGCTTGGTATTTTTAATTTTGGTCTTCCTAAAGGTGTGTAATGGCACATTATTGTGGTTTTCAGGCATTTCCCTAAGTGTTCAAATGTGATTTAGTCTTCACTAGCACAGCTTGAACAATTTTTGTACATCAGAAACTTCAGAAGCACATGGAAAGACTATAAAAATATTAAAGCTGGCGAGCTGCCTATTAAAGACAAAGATGCTAAGACCCAGAGAAGGGAAGGATATGCCTAAAGTCTCAGACCTGTGCTTTTCTAACAGTTCTTTCTAATCATGTGGCATGAACCAACTATCCAATTCCTGTACCCTCTTTAAACAAGACAAAGCAAAACCACACAAAATAAACTTTAAGCCCCACAAATGACTAATGAAATCCTTTTTGATACTGATTTATAAAGGGCAACCAGAATAATCATTCTGATCACAACACAGAAACAGCATGAGCTAGGTTTCCAAACATTAGATTTCTGAAAAGGTGCCCGTGCCCTGTATAATGGCAAATATTTTTATCTCTAGATCTCAGCAATGCAGAGGTTTCTTAGACATTGTATTAATAAGAAAAGGACAAGGGACAAGTGCTTTTTCCCTTCATTTTAGAGTCCATGCTTTCTTTTGTATTTTACCTGGCAGGAGGGCCCTGGTCGTTACCTTGACAGGAAGCCAGTGATAGTGAGGGACATCATTCTTGCAGCTGATCACCGCCTTAATGGTTAAATTCAGTGGGTTTAAGAGAGCCCAAACTAGCAAACACCTCCTCACCATTCTTCCATGGGAGGAAGAACACAGTGACTTGACAGGTCTGCAGGAGCAGGAACTGAGCGTGCCCCTGGCTCAGCGCTTCTCAGAATCTGCTTGCCTGCGGGGTGGGGGGGGGGGGGGGGGGTGCCCTGCCACTGTGGTGTTCCTTCTGTTCTGGGTCCTAAAGCGATTTGCATTCGCTTTACCGCCTTGCAGAGGGGGGGGTTGGTGTGTGTGTGACTTCTGGGTGCTCCCCTACATAACACAATAATCAAAGCTGGTGGACGCTGAAGGGCAGTCCTGTGATTGTCCAGCTCTTTCAGAAATAAAGTAGAAAGGATATGCAACCTTCTGGCAAGCGGTCTGAAGTCAGCCTTTCAATCTAGCTTTTGTCAGGAAACAGGCAAACATTTTAAACTCTGTGTAACTCCTAAATCTTTCCATGATTTGCACTCAGGAGGGAAAGATGATGTTATTTATTGGACTCCAGGTATATGTTGCTTCATTAAATATGTGTGTGTGTGTGTGTGTGTGTGTGTGTGTGTGTACACATACATATATATTCACAACATCTAGTAGATGTCATTTGCCACATGAAAAATTACACAGGAAATCCCCTGTCTGAATAAGAGGAACATAAATAGATACTTACTACATCAGTGTTTTTTTAAAAGTAGAGCCCTTCCTTCAATGAACTCTCATATGGAGAGCCAGTAGATAAAGTAAACAAGAGTGAAAATACTCTGGTTAAAAATGTGCAGGGTTTTCCAGAGCTCGGCCTGCTCTCATGCTGCCCCCCAATTACTTCCCAGTCTTTTCCTTTCCTCCAACTTCGTGGACTCTCTAGAGAACTTGAGAAAACAATAAGGATAACCCTGCTTTGATAATTAAACATGAAAGAAGTATCCCAAGTTACTCTGCTACCCTCCTCATGAAGGTCAGGTCTCTTTCTACACACAGGAGATCAAGCCTGAAATCTGGGCCCATGGAAGGGCAACATGCCAACCTCTACTTTATTTGGGGTTTTTTTGAATATTATTTTATTTTTTATAAAGCAGGTTCTTATTAGTTATCTATTTTATACATATTAGTGTATATATGTCAATCCCAATCTCCCAATTCATCCCACCACCACCACCGCCACTTTCCCCCCTTGGTGTCCATACGTTTGTTCTCTACATCTGTGTCTCTGTTTCTGCCCTGAAAACTGGTTCATCTGTACCATTTTTCTAAGTTTCACATATATGCATTAATATACGATATCTGTTTTTCTCTTTCTGACTTGATTCACTCTGTATGACAGTCTCCAGATCCATCCACGTCTCCACAAATGACCCAATTTTGTTCCTTTTTATGGCTGAGTAATATTCCATTGTATATATGTGCCACATCTGTTTTATCCATTCTTTTGTCAATGGGCATTTAGGTTGCTTCCATGACCTGGCTATTGTAAATAGTGCTGCAATGAACACTGGGGTGCATGTGTCTTTTTTTTTTTTTTTTTTTTTTTTTTTTTTTTGTAGTACGCGGGCCTCTCACTGCTGTGGCCTCTCCCGCTGCGGAGCACAGGCTCCGGACGCGCAGGCCCAGCGGCCATGGCTCATGCACCCAGACGCTCCGTGGCATGCGGGATCCTCCCAGACTGGGGCATGAACCCGCATTCCCTGCATCGGCAGGCGGACCCTCAACCACTGCGCCACCAGGGAAGCCCTCCATGTGTCTTTTTGAGTTACGGTTCTCTCTGGGTATATGCCCAGTAGTGGGACTGCTGGGTCATTTGGTAACTCTATTTTTAGTTTTTTAAGGAACCTCCATACTGTTCTCCATAGTGGCTGTATCAATTTACATTCCCACCAACAGTGCAAGAGGATCCCCTTTTCTCCACACCTTCTCCAGCATTTGTTTGTAGATTTTCTGATGAAGCCCATTCTAACTGGTGTGAGGTGATACCTCACTGTAGTTTTGATTTGCATTTCTCTAAAAATTAGTGATGTTGAGCAGCTCTTCACGTGCTTCTTGGTCATCTGTATGTCTTCTTTGGAGAAATGTCTATTTAGGTCTTCTGCCCATTTTTTGATTGGCCACCCTCTACTTTAAATGAGAGCTGCCGACGACAACATCAAGCTCTCTCTGGGGTCATTTCACTGCAAGAACAGGACTAACAGCTAAGCTGAAGAACCCAGGAGAGAGGCCACCGAGGTCACTCCGCTATAGTAACTGCAAGGTCTATTCAGCCACCGTGGCAATGTGAAGACAACTGCCATATAAAAGCAGCCCCATCCAAAAACACAAGAATTCTAAATTCAGAGACTATGGGTCACTGAAGTTCTTACCATGCGAAGCTGCATCTGTTCCCAACACATTCCACTCCGCTGGCAGCTTCAGGTGCCTGAACGCCAGGGAAACCTTCTCATCAAGGGAATTCACATCCGTGGACGGGGGTCCTGACCGATCCAGGAAACGGGTGAAGTTCAGAGCCTGCTGATTTCCAGCACTGGTTGCCAGGAACTGGGCTGCATCGTAGGCCTCGTCCTGGATGAACCTGAAGTCTTCTTCCGCCACCACAAACACAGGCAGGCCCTCTTTGGAAGCACAGAGCAGCACCTTCACCGTCTCACAGCAGTCATGACCTAAGGAAACACACGCAGGAAGGAAAACAGGATTAGAGCCCTCCTCCTGAAAGGAGGACACTGCGGGGG